TGAATGCATGTACTTGATTTGTTTTCTTTTGCAGGTCCCTCTTGTAAAACTGATACTATGTCATCACGTACACCCGAATCACGTCTCCCAAAACGTTGCAGTGGGACTTATTTCAATGGGAAACTTTGTATCGATTGAAGTAATTTGCCTGTCATCTCCCCCTCTGGCGAGTACCCAGATTCAGATTAGTTTAATTTCAATAATATCAATGCTATGTAATTGATGATAAAAATAGGATTTAATTAAAATTTTAGAAACTTTTCATTGATGAAAATTGATAAAAATTGATAGAAATTAAACCGTGAATAATAATAAAATAATTTTTTTTGAAACGAAAAAAATTAAAATATTGATATAGTTTAACCCCAGTAGAAATACTACATTTTTCCGCGCTTTTAAATAACCTAAAAATGACAAATAAACTTTTTCGAAAAATTTAGATCAGTTTTAAATAGGACGAACCTACTCTTAGATTCTGCCATTAGATGGCGAGTACCTATATGCGTAAATCTGCAAGTGGTAAAGTAAAAATAGTTGTATAATAGTTTCTAACGTAGACTGATTTTTATCATTTCTTCAAGCTTGAATTTGAATTTAACAGATTAGAAAACCCTATTAAAACATTAACATTTCAAATGTAGAAAATTAAATGTAACTATAATTAGAGTATTTTTAAATGGCAATTCGCACAAATTTTCAAAGTCATAAAAAAATCATTAAATAACAAACAAAAAAACGAGGCGCATTGACTCTTCACCAGCTTAACTTTTGAGTTTTTATTCAACAGCGTAACACTCGATCCCGCTCGTATCATAAACTCGTGTATACGAGCTGCATTATAGCAAAGCTGCGATGCCTTATTTATAACCATCGGCGCACGATGCGTTTGAATTCATAAGTGCACTCGCTCGCCGAGCTGGAGGCGCCACGTTGCCTTTTCAAGCACGACCATATTATAAACGTATACACAGCGCGAGCGCGCGTGATGAGGTGTTGAATAGATATTCAAAAACGCCTAATAGAATTCCAAATGACGCTCCGAGTAGCACATCGTTACTTAATTTTTTTTTTTTTTTTTTCGTCGTGAGTTTCCTTCTGACATTTGCGCAAAACGAAAATAGAATCGGCCCGGTTTGGATTTTTTCCAAACAATGATACACGCATAAGCTAATTACTCGTCGCTTAATTATACTTTTGAACAATTAGACACGCTCGTCAATCAGCGATCGCGATTGGCCAATTTCTATATAACGTTTTTTCTTTTATTTTTACAAATCTAAATCCAATTACGAGGCGAAGCGCTCGAACGATTGGAAAAAAACCTCCACGATCGTCTCGCGTTACATAAAAATCAATAATGCGGTCTAGTGATAATTGAAAAAAAAAATTGCTCGTAAAGGCCGTTTTACTAATTGCGCTCTCGAATCTCGCCGAGGTGATAAAGAAAACACAAAGCCGAGATATAATTGAATTATCGTCGGTATAAAATAGTAAATCACTCCGCGCCGATGAAGCAAGTTGAAACATAATGCCCAGGTATAAACCGAGAGAAATATAGGGTCATTAAAGCCGCTCGCGCTATATGGAATTTGACTTGTTGTATTACATGTGCGCGCGCAATTATCCGCGCGCGCGAGTCCGCGAGTCTCTTCGGGTTAATACACTTGGAAATGAGTCGTGAATTTGCTCCTTCCGATGATCAGTTGCACACAGGCTGCAGTACTGCGAGCTCCGCTAAAAAGACGGAAGCTGCGCTACAGCTGAGAAACGCAGATCGCAGGGTGTAAATGTATATAGAGAATTGAAAGACGTATGGTTAAGCGCACGCGAAATGTCAGTGTTACACGGCGAGAGATTTTCCAAATGAACGATTCTCACATTTTGCCGATCGCGCGCGTTATAGTTAGCCGAGCCTAGAGGCACTCGTAACGCGCGCGCGCGCGCAACTTTGCTTCAGATATTACGTATTTTTTATGTATCATAATATGTCGAATGCACTTGCACGCAGACGATGTACGAGGCCGATATTTGCACTCGAGACAATTTTCGAATTACGCAATTGAATGCGAGCGAGGCACACAACCGGGAATTGACTTTTCTCTTAACGCAGCGAGTGCGTGATGATCATTGGAAGCTGCATCGGCGTCTCTAACTCGTTACGATCCTCGATTATTATATAGCCGAGCTGGCGTGTATTAAAATGCACACGAGGATCATTTGCGCCGCTGCGGAGGAATGTACACCAGGAGAGCCCCATTACGGAAGAGCTTTATTAAGTGTCGCGTGGTGAACACGCGCTATACAACGTAGTAGCTCTCGGTACAGAAACTAAGTACGAATTAGCGTGTAATAGCCGATCGTGCAACTAATTTCCCAGCTCTCTCTCTCGCCTCAGTTTTTTCTCCATTTTTAGCCTCGGTCTTTCTCGCGCCGCGCGGCCAATGCGAGTTCGTGTTTCATAACGCCATAATATAATATGTAATTGCCGCGCGCGCGCGGGGATTGTGACAAGACAGCGCCAGAGATACGAGTTGCCTGCATTCCGGATATATACTTTGGCTCGTGCGCGCTCGAATGCGGGCCACCACCACCGTGTGAGAGATCGTTTCTGTCATTTAACGAGTCGAAATGAAGCAGCAACGAGCACGAAAGTACCGTTGCAAAGGCAGCTTAAAAAAACAAAATCAAAAACAAGAAAAAAAATCAAGGAAATTCAGCGTCGTGCGTATTCGTGCGCCCCGGAGCATCATCTCGCTCGGGTTTTATGCAGCATAGATCGAGGGGGTAATAGCTGCTGCATCAAAGGCCGTTTTGCGTCAGACGCAAATCGTACACATATACGTACTTAACGCATACGTAGCACGCGAGCAACGATCGAAGCTGACGCGTAGCTATAAGGCTCCTCTTAGATCGTCATTATTGTCCGCGCGTCCAGCGCTTACAGTACTTATATATGCGTACACCCTGTATCACGTACGCGCGTGTGTACGTACGTAGCTCGTGCTTTCGAGTTCCGTAATGCCAGTGCTTGACACGCCGTTTGCGATGCGCAGGCATTAGTCGTTTATTCGCCCGTGTGCGATCGCCGAGGTACACACATCTGTATAATATGTAAAGGACTACGAGCCTATATACGATGTAGATCGTCACGCCTTTGTCTTATCGCAATTACGAGTGTAATGCGCGGGATCTTGTCCTACTTTAAAAAGGAAGATTGCGAGCAATGTTCTTACTTTGACTTATACAATTGCTTGTACTATTCCACTTGTAGATTTGCAGGTATGTAGGTACTCGCCATCTAGCGTTGAAGGCTCAAAGTAGTATGTTGTCGTATTCAAAGTGATTGAAAGCTGGTCGAAATTTTCGGAAATAGTTCGATTTACATTTTTATATTGATATTTGTGACACAATTGTAACAAAAAAATTTGCCAGAAACAAGCCAATTAATAGAGTGATGTACCTATTTTTAAACATTTAAAATGGTCTTCTATTGGTGATTAGGACATTCTGTATGATGAGTATTTTTACTAAACAGCCTGAGCAATTTGACGAGTTTTTCGGTCCGATAAATTCACATCGATTCCTTCTAGAAACAATCATCAAGATCTTTGAGCCATCCTTTTTGTACCTCGCTCGATATACCGTATTCGTGCGCGTAATTTTCTCTCATTAGACGCACGGCGAGCAAAGAACCGATCGCGCGACAATGTCATTCGCGTGCGCTGGCTCTCAAAGTACACGACAAAGTATCGGTACGTTATACATACACGATGCCGTATCATCGTTCATATAACATAAAACACAAGCGTCGACGCGCTCTAGGGCCCCGTATACAGCGAATGTCCTCCAAGTATAAGCGCAGGAATTTAATATGTAGGCTGTAATATACATAAGCGCTCGCGGATAGGCAGCTACTGCACACAGCCTTACACGTATATGTGTGTGTGTATGCTTGATGCAGTTCTCTCTCTCTCGATGCATAATTATCGCTAAGCATCGGCCATTTGCGAGGAATGGTTGATAATTGCCCGTTTCGCTTACTCGCGTGCGGAGCGGCACAGTGGTGCATTATATACCTGCGCAAGCCCGTGCCGTGTGCTGCCGCTGCTGTCACTCTTGTGCAGTACAGCAGCAACGATGCAGCTCGATGCACTCGCACACTCACAGACACACATACTGTGTTATAAGCTCCAGCAGCGCGAACCGATCGAGTATAGTGTACATAAGTAGCTGTAAAATCTACCTCGATATATGTATAACGCAAGCCACTGCTGCTGCTGCTGTTGCTGCTGCTGCTGAAACTCGGCAAGTGAAAATTTTCATTCTGGCGCGCGCTACCTCGGCCCCGATCCCCGTGCATTACACGCGCGGATCGCCAGCCGCGGCTGCACGCCGCGCAGCACACTGCAATTGTTCGCCACGATCGTTATGAGCGAGAGCTTTTTTTTTTTGTTTTTTTGACTGCATGGAAATTTATTTTCCGTTATGGGGTAGCCGCGATGCGATGCAGTGGTCGAGACGGATGAATTACGTAGCTGCCCGTGTGTGACATCGAGAGTATACTCGTCGTAATTAGCAAATTAAAAAAATGAAAATAAGAATGAGCATAATTTTAGGAGGGAGCTCTTTGCCAATGAAGCTATTTTTTATTTTGCGGTTGAGCAGTTGAGCTTTCATATTAGGCTAAAAAAGTTAGGATTTGTTTTCTGCAATGAAGGGTAAAATATATGAAATAGGGTTTTACTCTAGATTCATTATTTTTTTTTTTGTGGAAAGTTTGTGTGAAATGAATTGTATAGAAATGAAGAAATGAGTAAATACTTAATTCTAAGGAAAAAGAAACTCGCCAAGGAATCAGCCAGCCACGTTTATAATAATTCCAACTATAATATTTTAATATACCACAAAAAATTGAATACAGTGAATTTGAATTATTTTTTAATAATTTACATTAGAATTTAATCTTATAAATAACATGTTTCTCAGAATAACTTCTCGGCAGAATACAATTTTTTGCAAATGTCACAGTAGAGAGGTTTCCGTCAATTATGCACCGTATCAAAATGGATTTTCAGAGAACCTTTTCGTACAAATGACTTCCCGCATACATCGCAGCTGTGAGGTTTTCGATTATCATGCACTGAATCCGTATGTACTTTGAGATTACCCTTATTTACAAATGTTTTTCCACACTTGTGACATGGGAAATTGATAAGTTTATGCATAGAATCAATGTGTAATTTTAAAGAACTTTTTTGTACAAATGACTTTCCGCATGTATTGCAGCTGTGAGGATTTCGACCATTATGCAGTGAATCGATATGTATTCTGAGATAACCCTTAGTTGTAAATGACTTTTCACAAATGTCACACGCGTAAGTGATACGTTTGTGCACCGTATCAATATGGATTTTCAGAGCACGCTTGAATGAAAATGACTTTCCGCATGTATTGCAGCTGTGAGGGTTGCGATCAGTATGCAATGAATCGATATGTACTGTGAGATAACCCTTATTTGTAAATGACTTTTCACAAATGTCACACGAGTAAGCAATACAATTATGCACCACATCAATGTGATTTTTCAGATTACTTTTTTGTACAAATGACTTTCCGCATACATCGCAGTTGTGCGATTTTCGACCATTATGTACTGAATCAATATGAAATTTGAGACTACCCTTATAGGAAAATGTCTTTTTACAAATATCACACGGGTAAGAGATACGTTTATGTATCGAATTAATATGTGTTTCCAGATTACTCTTTAGTGTAAATGACTTCCCGCATATATCGCAGTTGTGAGATTTTCGACCATTATGTACTGAATCAATGTGAATTTTGAGATAACTATTGTATGAAAATGACTTTCCACAAATGTCACACGGGTAAGCAATACGTTTATGCACCATATCAATGTGATTTTTCAGATTACTTTTTTGTGCAAATGACTTTCCGCATACATCGCAGCTGTGAGGTTTTCGATTATCATGCACTGAATCCGTATGCACTTTGAGATTACTTGTATTTACAAATGTTTTTCCACAAATGCCACATGGGTAACTGATACGATTATGCTTAGAATCAATGTGTAATTTAAAAGCACTTTTTTGTACAAATGACTTTCCGCATGTATCGCAGCTGTGAGATTTTCGACCATTATGCACTGAATCAATATGTGACTTCAGATAATTTTTGATTTTAAAATTCTTTTCACAAATGTCACACGGGTAAGTGATACGTTTATGCACCATATCAATGTGGTTTTTCAAACTGTTTTTTGAAGAAAAATTTTTAAAACATTTCTCACATTGATTAGATTTTTGGGGTTTCTCTATTTGAGGACTAATTTTGGTATCCTTTCCATGGAGTTCGCTTCCAGTATTGAAATCTATACTTTTTATAATATCGCTGAGAAACTCTTTCTTGACTATGCTCTCAGTTTCTATTTTAATTGAGGAATTAGTAGCAAAATCGTTCGACCAATCGTTTACTTTATTGGGTACTAATAAATTCACAGCTGGTTTCACGTCTTTGCACTCAAACTCTATTTTAATTTCTTGGTTAGGTTGAAATTCATGAATTCTTTCGCTCGCTTCAGCAGTTACTAATAAATTTACATCGGATTTTTCATCTTCGCACTCAAACTCTATTTTAATTTCTTGGTTAGATTGAAAATCATTCATTTCTCTGTGTTCTTCGAGCGTATGAGCGTATGTCTTTTTACAAATATCAGACGGGTGAGAGATACGTTTATGTATCGAATTAATATGTGTTTTCAGATGACTCTTTTGTTTAAATGACTTCCCGCATATATCGCAGTGGTGAGATTTTCGACCATTATGCACTGAATCAATGTGAATTTTGAGATAACTATTGTATGAAAATGACTTTCCACAAATGTTACACGGGCAAGCAATAAGATTATGCACATTATCAATATGAGTTTTCATAGTACCCTTATGGGAAAATGACTTTCCACATATATCACAGTTGTAAGGTTTTCGACCATTGTGCAATGAGTCGATATGAACTCCAAGATAACTTTTTTGTGAGAATGTCTTTTTACAAAAGTCACATGGGTAAGTGATACGTTTATGCACCATATCAATGTGAGTTTTCAGAGCACTCTTGAATGAAAATGACTTTTCGCACGTGTGACATGGATGATTGATATGATTATGTATCGAATCAATATGAACTCTCAAACCATGCTTACGCACAAACGACTTTTCGCATATATCGCAGTTGTAAGATTTTTGACGATTATGCAATGAATTAATGTGAATTTTGAGGAAAGCTTTGCCTTTAAATGATTTTCCACAAATGTCACACGGGTAAGAGATACACTTATGCACCGTATCAATATGTCTCTCTAGATTTCGTTTTGAAGAAAATTTTTTCAAACACAACTTGCATTGCATAGATTGTTTTTTTCTCTTTACTAAAGGACACATCTTCATTTTCTGTCCGTTCAGTTTACTTCCAGTATCTAAATCTATAGTTTTCATAGTATCGCTGTAAAATTCTTCTTTGATTATGCTCTCAGTTTCTACTTTAATCGAGGAATGAGTTGCAAGATTTTCGCTAATTTTTACATCATCATATTCATCAAACCCATAAGAACAAGCATTCACTTTAACAGGTACTAATAAGTTTACATCGGGTTTCACATCTTTGCACTCGAATTCTATTTTAATACCTTGGTTAGGTTGAAATTCATCGATTCCTTTGTGCTCTTCAAGCGTATTATTCTGATATAAAATTAAAGTCTTATGAAAATTTTGTCAAAAATGATAATTTAATCAATCATAGTTATCAATCAACTTACGGTATTCTCTTGCAGACATCTGAGCAATTGCAAATTTTTAGTATCGGTTGATTGTTCTTCCGTTTCACCACTATCATTTTCGTAATAATGCATATCATTGAATTCTTCTTTCACTCTGCAAATATCGATAAAATTAAAAAAATATTTACTTGGTTATGTTGTTATTTCAATTCGCAAAAAAATAATTACTCAGCAGCATAGTTGAATGTACGGGACTCCATTTTGTTGAATATATGGCTGATGCTTCAATATTTCAAATGAAATTAAAATTATTTCAATGGTATTCACAAATCTTGAACTCGAAATGACGACGATTCAACGCGAGTGAGAGAAAGAACTGAGCAAGTCCGAGTGCTCGAAATGTTTACAAATATCGATGAATACCAGCAGATGAGGTCAAGGTGATAGAAATAGTACGAGCAAACGAGATAAACATGACGCTTGCGTAGAAGCAGCTAAGAGTTGTATTCGATATTTTTCAATCTTATACTAAAGCAAAAATGTAAACTATTACATTAGCATTTTTGGTTTTTCCATAGGGTTGAAGTATTTTAGATAACATTTGCGTAGTCGCTGCGATAGAAAAGCTGCGAGACAAGAAATGTGCATACCTAGAAAGTAGGATAATGTACTACTCTTTTAGAATTTCATACACTTTTTCTAAAGTAAGCTTTATGAAAGCTTTTGAAAAGTTCCAGTCTTAAAGCGCGAACAAGTCTGTCTCCGAAGAGTCTATATATTTCTAAGACGATCGCGCTCGCTCATTTTTCACTCGATCTACCCAAAGCACGTAAAGAAATTTCACTCGAAAGAAAAAACGCGTAAAAATAAAGCGGCAAGCTGGAGCGTGAACGAGCATTAGCCAGTGATTGCTGCTGCTGCTGCTGCAATTGGCTAGATAACCGGCTGTCTTTCTTTCTCTCACTTTGACGATCTTTAACTTAGCAACTACAGTAACAACAACAACAACAACAGTACAAAGAGGTGAAAGACAGAGAGAGAGAGAATCATCCGATAAGTGCAATGCGCACGGAGATGTTTGGCATCTGTGTGTGTGTGTGTGTGTGTGTGTGTGTGTGTGTGTACGTGCGCGCAAGCAGTGCATACAGAGAGAGAAGAGAGAGAGAGAGAGGAGATCCTCGCCGCGCGCAGAAGCCTCGGGGGCAGTCTTTAACTCCTCTCTCAGTTAGCGAGCGATCAGGCAGAGGCTGCGCGAAGCGAGCCAAGCTCTCTCTCACTCACTCGACCACGTAGTGCACGTATAAGTATATAATGCACATATAGAAGCTCGGGCAAGTGCAGGCGGCGCCGCGTCACGATCATCCCGCGAGCAGAGCGCCCTAATAACGCAGGCCTCGATGTGCCTCTCTCTCTCTCTCTGCGTTGCGCTGCTGCTCCGGCAAATTTCCACGATATCGCGACTCTTTATTCAATATAAAGTTGGAAGAGGAAAGGCGGGAGGAGGGAGGGGGGGGGGGGGGCACAAANGGGGGGGGGGGGGGGGGGGGGGGGGGGGTGCACAAATCGCTCGCGGATCGTCGAGAAACGCGAGCTTGTTACACGCAGCGCTGCGTGTAATGTTCCGTGGCACCCACCCCACACCGCACACTACGCGACGCGCACCTTTATGTATGTACTTTATATGTATACGTTAACTCGAGTGCAAACATGACATTTGCGTAATCGCGCCAAATTACTCCGATGATCCGCATCTATTATAAATCGCTGGACAGCGCATGTGGATGCGCCGCGAGTCGCGAGTAGATCGCTTCTTGTGCTTACTGCAGCTCGAGCTATATATATACGTAGAGTCCAGCCACTACTGCCACTGCCGCCGTTAAAAAATTATCCCGACCGATGCTTATCCTTTCTTTCTCTCTCTTTCTGTCTCTTTTTCTCTTGTTCGCTCGTTTTCGTTGCCGTTGGCTTCTCTCTCTCTCTCTGTCGTGAGAGAGCGACTATTATATGTGCATACACACACACACACACACACACACACACGTACTCAACCTCCTTCTTTTTCGACTGCGGAGCTTAATGTTTTTGCATTTTTTTAATCGACCAAAGTATTTGCCCTCGAGAGAGAGAGAGAGAGCCTCGTGATCATTAACGCACACGTATACGAATCTCGCACACTTGTGTACCACCGGTGTACACACTCACTCGCACACACACAGAGACGCAGTTACGAGTGAGCCAATAACTTCATTAAGCCAGGCCAGAGCGAGAGAGAGAGAGAAGGAAAGAACGAAGAAAAAAAAGCTCGTCAAAAGGTGTGTCGCTGAAATGTAGTTAATAAATTTTTATGCCGCTGATGACTTGATTACAGCTTTGGCCATTGCTGCTGCTGCTGCCGTTGAGAAGAATGCGACTTATATATAGTTACCCGCGCTCCTCCTCGGGTCCCCTCCCTCCTTGACTCTCTCAGCAGCAGCAGCAGCAGCAGCAGCAGTGGCAGCGAGTAGAGAGCATGAGCGATATTTAAACTCTTCGTGCCTCGACGTTATACTTGCTATACATACACACAGGTATTGGCCCACGGTGTTGACTCGTCGTTTTTTTCCCTTATATACATACATAGCAGGCCTCGCTCGCTTATCGTACTTTTGCATATTATATATACTTATGTACTCGAGACATCGAGTATATTACTCATCGTCCTATATACACACACAGACACAGACACACAGACATGCTCTCGGCGCTTATTACACGATATAAAGAATGAATTATTGCTCCAAATGATATATATTTTCATGCAGGCGCGCGATGGAAAATATTTGCCATCGATAAGTCAACGAGAGCGCGCAATTGACGAGAGCCGATATCGAGGTGTACCCCCGCGCGATGTAACAATCGTCACGACAACAACAACAACAACAACAGCAGCAGCAGCATCGGTTGCAGGTTCTACGGTATTTTTCAATGAAATGGAGAAAAAAAGAGTAGCAATTGGCACGCTGCCAATTCCTGCGGTATACGTACGCTACACACTGAGTAGTTTATAAATAATACATCGAGAGAGAGAGGATCGCTGCTGCTGCCGCTGCAACGAGAGAGGTGTAATGGCATGGTATTTAATAAACGGCTATGGGAGGAAGCTAATTGCACCGCGCGATGGCCGTGCACCGTATATATAGGTACGCGTATATATAAAGGAGCTCTCTCTCTGCTCTCGACGGATTGATTCGCGGCTGCTGCATTGCTTCGTATACGTATATATGTACGTACGTGCAACTTGAGAACTGCTGCTGCTGCTGATGCTGCTGCTGCTGCTGCTGCGATTTACCTTGGCGAAAAATCGTGTATACACATCGTGCATCGAGTATATAGTCCCAAGCGCTACAGAAGCGATCGTCGGCTATTATCGGCTCTCTCGTTTATACATATAGCTTATATAGCTTATAACGTATATATACGGGACAGGGATCGACGCGCATCGCCTGCCATGATTAATGAGTTAATTAGCTTATTATATAGTATGTGTCGAAGCTTCACTGCTGCTGCTGCTGCTGCTGCTGCAGTTCATACCGAGTGCACCGATGTTGCACACTGCAGTACGTCGAGACTATATACGTCTATATATATAACGCAACGATGCGCTGCTGCACGCAGCGAATTTATATTCATCGATTTCCATCGCGTCTATATGCTCTTCGACTCTCTCCCTCTCTCTCTCTCTCTTTTACCCGAGCGGATCGTAAAAGTTTCGAGAAAATCAATGTTGCGCGTATTATACACCGTGCGCGAGTGCAGGCGTTCTCATCGTCTATTCAGCGGCTCCAAACGCGCGCGCGCGCACGTGTGTCTGTATATATAACGCGTAAATCGACAATTGCAGCTACGATCGCGAGAAAAAAATCTCCCTAGCGATCCTTTCTTTTCGCTTTTTTTTCCTCAATATTTTGTAAGCGTTTGCTGCTATTCGTGCGGCTATTTTCCCTGCGCGCACAGTGCATTTTCGCGCGTATTGTCGAGTATATATATGCGCGTATGCAGATATATAGACACGTCTGCGCAACGGAAATCATCGGCGGCAGGCAAACATATAAATGCCTCAGAGAGAGAGAGAGAGAGAGAAGAGTTGCTCGTACAGAGTCCAATTTTAGTCGCTTTCGAAATCTCGAACTGCACTCACGCGCGGGGCATCGAAGGCTTTTCATGCCTCGCGCAAACGCGCCACAAAATTCATTGCCGTGCGAAAGCGTCAGCAGCAGCAGCAGCTGCGATCGCGTATAAGTGGCGCTTCCGAGAGCGTAAAACGCGCCAACGACTTGCGAGAGAGCAGCTCGTGGCAATTGTTATTGTTTCTTCGCGCGCGCGCACGCGGCGGCAGCGAAATGATGATACTCGCGCGCGCATATACTCGATATATGTATAACAACGCGTTCGTACAAACAAAGCCAGGGCAAATGACGATAACAATAGGCAGACAACAGTGTGTCTGTATACGGTGAGTTACGACTCACGCGCGTCTCTCTTACTCTCGCTGCACTTGACGATCGACCTCATGCGCGCGCTCTCAATGCCATTGCTGCGCAGATCTCGCGCGTATTCGAGAAAAACGAGCGAGTTGTGAGATTTTCGATGCACCTGCGCCTATATTGGAGTCTATACACATACGTCACAACGATCGATTAGGAAAAAAATCAGTGCTTTACGCGAGAGCGATATTATGTACCCGCGTAACCAAATCCGCTCCGGTATCTGAGGCCACACGCAGATCATCGCGGCGGCTGGCGGCTAGTCGCCTTAATGAGAAAATCATAGACATTAATTGTTGTCTATTTAATGCCGACACGCCAATCGTATTAGCTCTCTCTCTCTCTGTCTCTCAAGAATAAAGTAGGAAAATAAACACGTCGTTAAAGCCTCGCGATAATTTACGTAATAAATCGATTTCACGTTTTCTCAATGGCGATATAACACATATCTTCTTTTTTTTCTTCTTCTTCTTCATCCACTTACACGTTGTATTATTGGACATACATACATACATTAACGAGCCTATTGATTTCGATCAAATTTATTATACGCTCGTTATAAGGCGCGTATTATTGGCTATACATCGTGTACGTACACGCGCTTATACGCTGCGTAAGCGGATTTTTTTTGTGTGTAAACTTATACTTGTGTGCGTGACCACCCGTGGATAATATTCACCGAGAGAGAGAAATCCATCAATGAAAAATTCACAAATGAATAATCGATACGCTAATTTTTTTTTTCTTTTACCTACACGAGAGTTTAATTCCTCGCTCTAGTTATACGCATGGAAGCTGTGTGTGTTAAAATCCGCACAAGTGCGGAGTGTAT